GCTGTTCCAGTCCCTGCAATTCCGCTCCCCCTTAAGAGTGTTTGTCGGGACCCCTCTGCACTCACCCCCGCAGGGATAACGAATGACTCGTCTCTTTATGTTGCGGCGATCCACTGGTTCCCCGTGGGTACGCTCGCAATCAGGTTTCTCCGCACCCCCTGAGGATTGTGTGGGGCAGGCCCTCCTCCCCAAGGAAGGGTAAGGCCAGCGGACGGACACCCAGGGCTTCCATTGAGCTCCGCTGAGACTGGAATGAAACCAGCTCAGGTTAGCTCGCCCTCTCTCTTCGCCGCTGTTGCGGTTTCTTTTCTTCCTCTTTCTTTTCTTCCTGTTAAAGAAAGCGCTCCCACTGAGCACTGGCGGAGCACGTCCTGCTCTTAAGCAGGAGTCCAACAACTCCTTCTCTTGCTCCCTAGAATCCAAATCTGTGTTGACTGTCTCTTGATCAGCCAGAGAAACAGATAATCTAGGATAACTGTTCTCACTGATGGAACTCTCTCTGTCTTGGTCAGCCATTTTGTCTTAATTTGTAAAGAAAGGCAAGTGAAACTTTCAGTGTGTGACCAACTGGCTTCTCTTTCCTAGCACCAATACACCACGTGCCCAAAACAGAAACTGTTTCTTTCCCCAGAGAAAAATTATTGTACAGCCATGCTTGACTCTCTCAAGCTCCCAAACAAGATCTGTAGTTTGATCTTAACCAGGGCTGACCCTGCTTGGCTTCTAAGAGGTGACAACAGTGGGTTAAAATAATTTAAAGTCTCAGGAAGAATTAAAGAAAAGGGAAATAAATTTAGATTGGTGGATCAGAGTACAAGTAGAATCTAGATATAGTAAGGATAAACAGGCAGATTTATCTACTTGCAATTTCTTGCTTCACACACATACATAAACCTTTATTGGCATAACACAGCAACAAGAAGGGCAGTGAAACAGTGTCAGTTCCCGAAGACCTTGGGGTTCGCTTATGTAGATAAATGCAGTCATTCAGCAAAATAAATTCTGAAGACCAGGTTTAAAAAAAGCAAACTACTGGATTTAATTGGACAAAAATAGTTGTAGTAAAAGGGATGTAGACAAGCAGAAAACATCCAGTCATAACGAGCAACGGCAAACAAACAAAAAAGGCAGGTAACAGGACCAATGAAAACAATAACTCACTTTTGTGAGGCCAATTCCTTAAAACAGTCCAATATCAGGTAGAAGAAACCGGATCATTTCAGCCCAGAGTATAGCCGGCCCCACCCTGAGAAGCCTAATGGGAGAGTGCCTCGTCACCGTAGCTCCCTCTACTTAGGTCTGTTTCCCTGTCATCCGGCCGCCAGCTGATAAGAATTCAACTCCCTAATTAACCCTTCTGGCTTGCAAAAAGATTAGGGAGGTTTACAAGGATGATTCTCCCCCATAATAAAGTCTCACAGCTGAATATAATGAACATGCCCGGCTAGGTCCTACAACCTCTGTTCCTTACACCTCCCCCACTCCATTAGCATGGAAAGTAAACCATGCTGATGGAGTCAACAATAAAAAGGAGTACAAAGCACCTAGCAGATCAAACCACCAACAAATGCCTAGAGTTGCAATGATACTGAGTGCTAACGACACATTCTGGCTGAGGACAATACGTCAACTTCTGGAGCACAATCAGAATCTTCATAGCATCTGGATAAAGAGTCAGCCAAGATGTTATCCTTTTCTTTGACATGAGTCACATCAAATGAGAAGTCTTGGAGGCTTAATGCCCACCTCAAGACTCTAGAATTATTCTCTTTCATTTTATGTATAAATGTCAAGGGATTATGATCTGTTTCAAGATTGAAATGTACTCCCCTTAAGTATGTTTTAAGTTTATTCAATCCCCAGACCAGTGCTAATGATTCTTGTTCCATTACGCTGTATCTTTTTTCTCTTGGCAACATCTTACGGCTAAGGTAAACCACTGGGTGAAGACACTCATTGTGGTCTCTTTGCATGAGGATGACACCCAACCCATTTTTAGATGCATCAGTTCTTACAGTAAAGGGTTGTGTGTAGTCCGGAGGTCTTAAAATAGGGGCATGAGCCAAGTGTTGTTTTAAGGCCTCAAAGGCCTGCTGACAAGCAGGTGTCCACTGAATCCTAACAGGGGCATTCCTTTTACATAAATCTGTAAGCGGGGCTGCTAACTCACTGAATCCTGGTATAAACCGGCGATAAAACCCACATGCCCCCAAAAAGCTTAAGACTTGCTTCTTTGTTATTGGGGATGGCCATTTAACTATGGCATCCACTTTTACCTGATGTGGTTCAATTCTTCCACCTCCTATTTTATGTCCCAAATACAAAACGCTATCGCTAGCTATCTGACATTTTGCAGGTTTAATGGTTAGTCCGGCCCTCTGGATCCGTTGAAGTACTGCATCAAGGTGTTGAAGATGCTCCTGCCATGTTGAGCTGATAACAGCTATGTCATCCTGATAAGCAACTGCATAATCAAGCCCCTCTAAAACTCGATCCATCAGCCTCTGAAACACTTTACTAGCGGAATTAATTCCAAATGGCAAAACATTAAAGCGGAACTGTCCCAAAAAACATGTAAATGATGTCCTATCTTTAGCTCTTTCAGTTAAAGGCACTTGCCAGTATCCACTAGTAAGATCTAAAGTGGTTATATACTTAGCATGAGCCAATCTCTCCAAGATCTCTTCTATATTTGGAGTTGGATATTGGTCAACTTTGCAGAGCCTATTAAGTCTTCTATAATCCACACAGAGCCTATATTGCAAAGGGTCCGCCTCACTAAGTCTTTTCTTTGGTACTATGACTAGATTACTAGACCACTGGGAGGAAGTTGGTTCAATAATACCCATTTGCAGCATCTGTTGGATTTCTTCCTGAACTACTTGGCGCAACGGCCCACGGATTGGGAAGCTAGGAG